ATCTGTGATGTTCCTTTCTGTTGTTCTGAAGCCCTTTGGTTATTTACGCTATCAACGTTTATAGATTCATTGGTCTCATTCCCTTCCCGTGTCCCAAATAACAATCTGGACTGCTCATCATCATATTTTCTACTTCATTCCTGTTGTTTCTCTCTGCATTGTATCTCTGGGCTTTTTTCTTGCAATGGCATATATTTCTTTATTGTGCTTGCATTTGTATTAGGTTGCGAGGTTTTTACACCCCCACCTTTAGCAGATCTGTTCTTCATATTGACTTAACATAGCCGCTGGTTTTCTACTCAATAATCAGAAACGCTATTATCACACCTGGGAAAAGTCCCTCCTCTTTATACTTCTCCGATAGCTTTTACAGACGCAGATGGCTTTAGGACACTTTTACAATAGATAATACGTGGTCTCTGGAATCCCCCTACTCCTTGGTCTTCTAACCGCCTAGTCCCACAAATCAGGTATACATTTACTAGCAACAAAGATAGTAATAACCTAATTCTCCAACCGTTGTCCATGGCAACTCACCGTCACCCTCCGCACCTGGGGTTCTGGGTCGCCTCATCTCTGTATGCTCCTTCATCCCAAATGGGATCTCAAATCCTGATTTGTAAGGTTTCCTGAGGGAGGGGGGGGGGTCTGGGTGGGTGCTCAAGGTGTCCTGTAGTTTCAAATGTCTCCAGGTGTCAGAATTTCCTCTCTCTCTGCTGCTTCTCCCAGGTCGTTGGGGCATCTAGCCACTGAATTATCACAGCCCCATATGGGTGTTCCCACCTGGGGTCTGTCCAACACCTCTGCCTCTCTCGGTGCTCCCCTGCACTCCAGGGAGCTCCTCAGTTGGCTGGTGCTGATCCCACTGGGGCTCTGGGATTGAGACCTGGTCCACAGCAGCACGCTCCGTCCCCCTCTGCTCACCACTGCCGCCAGCAGTCACGTGATCCCTGCACACATTCGTGTGCATCCCAGAGCTCCAAGCAGGGCCGCCAGCAGGGTCAGATAAGCTCTTGGAGGTCCAGCTTCGGCAGTATCCACATGGGGAGCATCAGGAGCTCCCACTCTCAGCAGACTCCCGGCGCCATGTTCAGGCCCTCGCCCCCTTAGATGCAGCCCAAATCCGTCTTATGATAGAAGAGAGCCTTGGGGGCAAGCTGCACATGTTCAGTTTGGGGTGTATTGCTAGAGAGTTTTTTTTTCTTGGAAGAGTGCATGTGATCAGTACAAGGTCAATTAAAGCTGTCCAGACACAGTGTCAGGGGTCTGCAACCTCATAGGACAATCAGGGGAAAATGAAATCTCCTACAAGCTTTAACCAGTGCTCTGCTGGACACTGATAGAAGTCACAAGACTGCTATATACTGCTGATGAGAAAAGGTATTTATCAAATTAGATTTACTAAAATAATTGCATTTCCATGTTCTATGTACTCTGTGAGACCAGTTGTAGTAAATGCAGGGTCTTGGGTTCCGTAACACTTTAACTAAACTTAAGCTTTAAACTAGTTTACTGCTGAACATTTGTTACAGGACTCTACTACTGCAAATCCAATTTACTAAATATGCCAAAATAGCAGTAAACCCAGATGCCACTATAACTAAAAATCTTAGATCGGACTCTTCAGTGCAGCTGCACTATCTTCCCTTCCTACATCATTGGAGGCTGCCTTTATCTTCCGAGTTCTTGAAATTGGCCCCTGCTGCCATCCAGCAACATCCAGGGATAATAAGCTGCTGAGCTTGAGTACAAATGTAATGACTTTGGGGTTCATAAATAAAGAGAGTGCTTACAAGAAAGCTTCTTTCTGCCTGCAGGAACAAATCATCCTGCAGCTGTCACTTTTGCCTGTAAGAAACAATTAGCTTGCAGCTGTCACTTCTGCCTACAGGAGCCAATTAGCTTGCAGCTGTCACTGGAACCGATCAGTTTGCTGCGGTCACTTCTACCTACAGGAACCGATCAGTTTGCTGCGGTCACTTCTGCCTACAGGAACCGATCAGTTTGCTGCGGTCACTTCTGCCTACAGGAACCGATCAGTTTGCTGCGGTCACTTCTGCCTACAGGAACCGATCAGTTTGCTGCGGTCACTTCTGCCTACAGGAACCGATCAGTTTGCTGCGGTCACTTCTGCCAACAAGAACCGATCAGTTTGCTGCGGTCACTTCTGCCTACAGGAACCAATCAGTTTGCTACGGTCACTTCTGCCTACAGGAACCAATCAGTTTGCTGCGGTCACTTCTGCCTACAGGAACCAGTTTTCTGTGGTCACTTCTGCCTACAGGAACCAATCAGTTTGGTTCCTGTAGGCAGAAGTAACCGCAGCAAACTGATTGGTTCCTGTAGGCAGAAGTGACCACAGCAATCAGTTTGCCACACCAAATTGTATGGTACTGCGATACCATACTTGTTGACCACAAATGCACCGTGTTTACATTCCAAACTGTGTTTGGGGTACCATTAACAATACATTGGCACATGCAGATCACAAAGGCATTGCTTTTTGAGCTTGGGGCAGGAAAGACACATAGAATGCTTGCAGCTGTCACTTCTGCCTGCATGAACCAATCAGTTTACTGCTGTCACTTCTGCCTGTAAGAACCAATCAGCTTGGAGCTGCCACTTCTGCCTGTAAGAACCAATCAGCTTGAAGCTGTCACGATTACCTGCAGGAACCAATTAGCTTGCACTTGTCTACAGCAACCAATGTTATCTGCTTATTGCAAAAAAACACAAAAAAATGTTTGATGTAGGCAGAAGTGACAGCTGCAAACTGATTGGTAGCTGGAAGCTGAACTGATAGCCTGCAGCTGTCACTTCTGTCTACAGGAACCAATCAGCTTGCGGCTGTCACTTCTGTCTACAGGGACCAATCAGCTTGCGGCTGTCACTTTTGTCTACAGGGACCAATCAGCTTGCGGCTGTCACTTCTGTCTACAGGGACCAATCAGCTTGCGGCTGTCACTTCTGTCTACAGGGACCAATCAGCTTGCGGCTGTCACTTCTGTCTACAGGGACCAATCAGCTTGCGGCTGTCACTTCTGTCTACAGGGACCAATCAGCTTGCGGCTGTCACTTCTGTCTACAGGGACCAATCAGCTTGCGGCTGTCACTTCTGTCTACAGGGACCAATCAGCTTGCGGCTGTCACTTCTGTCTACAGGGACCAATCAGCTTGCGGCTGTCACTTCTGTCTACAGGGACCAATCAGCTTGCAGCTGTCACTTCTGTCTACAGGGACCAATCAGCTTGCAGCTGTCACTTCTGTCTACAGGGACTGATCAGCTTGCAGCTGTCACTTCTGTCTACAGGGACCGATCAGCTTGCAGCTGTCACTTCTGTCTACAGGAACCGATCAGTTTGCTGCGGTCACTTCTGTCTACAGGAACCAATCAGCTTGCAGAAGTCACTTCTGTCTACAGGAACCAATCAGCTTGCAGAAGTCACTTCTGTCTACAGGAACCAATCAGCTTGCAGAAGTCACTTCTGTCTACAGGAACCAATCAGCTTGCAGAAGTCACTTCTGTCTACAGGAACCAATCAGCTTGCTGCTGTCACTTCTGCCTGTAAGAACCAATCAGCTTGGAGCAGTCACTTCTGTCTACAGGAACCAATCAGCTTGCAGAAGTCACTTCTGTCTACAGGAACCAATCAGCTTGCAGAAGTCACTTCTGTCTACAGGAACCAATCAGCTTGCTGCTGTCACTTCTGCCTGTAAGAACCAATCAGCTTGGAGCAGTCACTTCTGTCTACAGGAACCAATCAGCTTGCTGCTGTCACTTCTGCCTGTAAGAACCAATCAGCTTGGACCTGTCACTTTTGCCTGTAAGAATCAACCAATGTTATCTGCCTATTGCAAAAAAAAAAAAAAAAACTGGTTCCTGCAGACAGAAGTGACAGCTCCAAGCTGATTGGTTCTTACAGGCAGACAAGACAGCAGCAAACTGATTGGTTAATGCAGGAAAAAGTGACTGCTGCAAGCTGATTGGTTCATGTAGGCAGAAGTGACAGCTGCAAGCTGATTGGTAGCTTCAAGCTGAAATGATAGCTGCAACCAATGAACTTGCAGCTGTCACTTCTGTCTACAGGAACCAATCAGCTTGCAGCTGTCATTCTGTCTACAGGAACCAATCAGCTTGCAGAAGTCACTTCTGTCTACAGAAACCAATCAGCTTGCAGAAGTCACTTCTGTCTACAGGAACCAATCAGCTTGCAGAAGTCACTTCTGTCTACAGGAACCAATCAGCTTGCAGAAGTCACTTCTGTCTACAGGAACCAATCAGCTTGCAGAAGTCACTTCTGTCTACAGGAACCAATCAGCTTGCTGCTGTCACTTCTGCCTGCATGAACCAATCAGTTTGCTACTGTCACTTCTGCCTGTAAGAACCAATCAGCTTGGAGCAGTCACTTCTGTCTACAGGAACCAATCAGCTTGCAGAAGTCACTTCTATCTACAGGAACCAATCAGCTTGCAGCTGTCACTTCTTCCTGCATGAACCAATCAGTTTGCTGCTGTCACTTCTGCCTGTAAGAACCAATCAGCTTGGACCTGTCACTTTTGCCTGTAAGAATCAACCAATGTTATCTGCTTATTGCAAAAAAAAAAAAAAGAACTGGTTCCTGCAGACAGAAGTGACAGCTCCAAGCTGATTGGTTCTTACAGGCAGACAAGACAGCAGCAAACTGATTGGTTAATGCAGGAAAAAGTGACTGCTGCAAGCTGATTGGTAGCTTCAAGCTGAAATGATAGCTGCCTGCAGCAACCAATGAACTTGCAGCTGTCACTTCTGTCTACAGGAACCAATCAGCTGGCAGCTGTCACCAGTGCAGGGTGGTGCTTGGTATCCCGGGGCCCTTCTCACATTGCAGTCCTGCCAAGGCCTATGTTCTAGCTAGGATTGTCCAGCCGATCTCAGATAGGTCAGGGATTTCCTGCGCCATGTGTACCCCTGTCCCGGGGTGTGGGGGCCCCCCAGCAGTGCAGTACACATCTCCTCTTACCCAGACAGGCCGCCCACAGTCCTCCCAGTGATTCCTCCCGAGCACAGCCGCCCGCAGCCCTCCAACAGCACCCTCACTGCGGACGCCGCCATCTTCCACAGACACCGCTCCCACAATGCACCGGGGCCGGCCGGAGAAGTCACTAGAGCGCTGTCCTTCACTACTGTCATGCATTATATAATGGGCTGTGGTTGTAGAAGCATACTGACAATAACATAGGTGTAAGTAGGTTCCACTTGCCGGCTGGAAAGGAGCTGATTTCTCCATATTTTTAATGCTATCTGAATGAGCCAGTAAGGGCAGTCTTGCCAGTACTAGACGTGTCACTGGCAGGCTCATCCTAACTCCCACAATCCCCCACGCCTGTCCTGGGTGATGATGGCGGGGATGAGTGTCCTCCGGTCGGCGGCTGCGATGATGATCAGCCGGCTGCACTGTGCTCAGCGTTGGGCGCTCCGGACTGAGGGAGTGCTGGGGAGAGGAGCACCGAGCGCTGCGGGTAAGAGGGCGGCCTGGCCGGGCCTGGTGTCCCCGGTGACCTCTGCCTGGGGATAGGTGACATTGTCACTGGAGACCATAGAAGGGTGATGTGGACATGAGTCTACTGTTTGCCGTCAGGATGAGATCAGAAGGGTCCACCCACCCATCCCCTACACTTGGTACCATTGTACCCTCTAAGGGGTCTCCCCCAGGGCCAGTGTACCCTCTAAGGGGTCTCCCCCGGGGCCAGTGTACCCTCTAAGGGGTCTCTCCCAGGGCACCCTATAAGGGGTCTCCCCTCCCCTAGGGCCATGATGATGGGTACATGAAGCTGATGTCATGTGGATTCTGTCACAACAGGACAATTTGACACATTTAAAAGGATCTAAAAGGAGGTATGATTTAGGGGTGGTTCACACCAGATGGCGGTGCAGGACGAGTACATTCCATGGGTCTTATCTGCATCATGCTTAAAGGATAAATTCACCTTTTGACCAAAAAAAAATGCACATTTTTTTGCAGGTAAAAAAAAGTGCATTTATTATTTTTGGTTGCAGGAGCCATGAAAGCATTGCACCAGGGATCAGCAGATTGCTGCTGCCATGCAGGTCTCCTGCAGACCTGTCAGATTATCTGCTTGCCGTAACGGATGTACAAGCAAGTATATATTCTGACAGGAAGCTTCAATGAACTACCATGGTTCTCAACAGCACCATGGTAGTTCATTGCAAACTACAAGCCCACAGCCGCTAAGGCTGCTGGGACTTGTAGTTCATTAATGAATAGAACTCTGCAGATGAATGACGTGGCTGTGTGGGAGGAGCCTCGCATGGCTGAGCTGTTTTTAAAGCAATACTAAAGGTGAATTTTTTTCTTTTTTGGAAAATAAGAAACAGGTTCTACTTGCCTGCTGTGTGCAGTGGTTTTGCACAGAGCAGCCTGGATCCTCCTCGTCTCGGGTCCCCCGCAGGCTCTCCTGGCCCCTCCCTCCTGTCGGGTGCCCCCACAGCATGCAGTTTGCTATGGGGGCACCCAAGCAGACACGTTCCCAAGCCACTGCTCTGTGTGTCCATTCTCACACACAGCTGCAGCTTGGCCCCATTCCCCTTTCTCTTCATTGGCTGACTGGCTGTGATTGACAGCAGTGGGAGCCAATGACTCGTGTTTGCTGAGAATAAAAGTGAAGAAAAATATGCTGCGCTACATAAAGAAAAAAACTCAATGCCCGTGAATCAAAAAATGTGAAAAATAAGAAATTAAATACAAAAAATTAAAAATCACCCAAACCAAAAAAAAATTATAATAATATTTAATCAACTCAAAAAAGTCATAAACATAAGTTCAATCAAAATAGTGTTCTTCTGTAAACCCTCCTGTGGATAACGGAAATATGTGCAGCTGTCATAAATTCCAGTAAGAAAACATCCTCCACCATATATCTGCTCACCTCACACAGTGTGACCTCACATTGTACAATGTTACGGTCTAACTGCACTTTTGGTCCCACTTGGACTCAGAAGATCAGCTTTTTAAATGGGGTCTTCAAAGTATGCTTCCTCCTTATAAACATCTTGGTGTCATCCGTATTCCTCATTAAAAAGAACTCAACATAGTGCTTTATCCTTTTAAACTTTTAATAAGCAATAAAACATAGGAAATGCATTCACGTTCTGGAGGTGCATATCTGCAGCACCTATGATGAACATCCAGCAATATATCGATTAAGCACAAGATGGCAGTATCATCTGAACAGCAGAGTCCTGTATAAGCTCAGAAAACTGTCACCATATGGAATGAAATGCAAGGCAAAGCATGGGGCCCTTCTCTGTAAGTGCAATTGTCTGCTAAAATGTCATTCCTGAATCGATTTCACTAATACTACAACCGCTGTCCCAATGAATGGGAATGTCGTGACGTCATTCGTACGCTCCGCTTGACGCGTTTCGGCACTAGTCATGTGAGTTCATCAAGAGGATGCGATTCAATCGTTCCTATTACATATATATATTGTACATTCACATCAGTCCCTAACCCTCAAGGGGCGTACAATCTAACATCCCTAACTCACATTCATACATACACATACTAAGGCCAATTTAGACAGGAGCCAATTAACCTACCAGCATGTCTTTGGAGTGTGGGCGGAAACCAGAGTACCCGGAGGAAACCCACGCAGGCACTGGGAGAACATGCAAACTCCAGGCAGGAGGTGCTGTGGCTGGGATTCGAACCAATGACCCTAGTACTGCCAGGTGGAAGTGCTAACCATTTAGGCACTGTGCTGCCTGTATCCATCTATAGTGTACTTGTCTCAATCCAGAGTACGAGGTGTCATTTCTGTCTGCTGCCTCCTTCCTCTGCTATGTTCATGAGTCACTTCTGACAAGTCTTCCTAACACCAAGAGAAAAAATGGTGACTATTGATGGGCCGAACAACCCCCTGATGACCGTGAACTTCGAACCCAGAGGACAATTTACTAAGCAGTATCTTACCGCATCCGAGTATGCGGTAAGATACCACACAGCATTTATTCAAAGAAAACGTTGGCGTTCACAAAAAAATGCTAATAAATACCGCATGAGTTATTAATTCATGCTGTATTTTAGTAGTGAAAACATGCGGTAATGTTTCAGCTGTCAGCGGGGTTCCCCACTGACAGCTGAATGTAAAAAGAATTGCCGGCAATTAAAAATTTAGCTAAAACTACGCCGAAATGTTAAAGAAAGTATGTAATTCCCCCCCAAAATCTATACCAGACCCTTATCTGAGCATGCAGCACAGCACCGGGGGGGGGGGGGGGGGGGGGGGGGGGGGGGGGGGGGGGTAGCGAACACCACCCCTCCTGAACCATACCAGGCCTCATGTCCCTCCCAAAAGCACCTTGTCCCCATGTTGTATACTGTATGTGTTATATGGTCAGTGAAAGGTTAAAATGGCATCACATGTAGAAGACAGCTGAGGTCATGGGCTCCTGCTTTGGTTACATGATGTCTTCCACATGTAGTTAAATTGTACCAACAGTTCACAGCTCTAGACATGTAAGTTGAGGACATAACACCAATGTAGAGCTTCCTGACACCAAGGATGGGATTGTGTGCTGGAATAGGACAATTCCACAACTTCCACATCTCCCATCCTGTTCTTGGGCAACCAACATCTGCACATTCCATAGAGAATAGATTATGGTGTCCATGCTGCATGTCTGGATATGTGCTGGCTGGTGTAGCTTCCTGACACTCAGAACTGAAGAAGTGGCTTGAAGAAGTCCAGTTGGATGTGACTAACTACTACTAGATCTACCATGACCTGGATAAATGAGAACCTACACAGACGTTTCACATTTGTTTTATCTTTAGTGCCTGTGCGTTTTTCCAGCAGTGACAAGAGGGTATTTGTCATTCGTCCTTCACGTTACCATGACCGGAAATTCACATCATACCTTGTAAGTCTTCTCTCTGTTAGTTGTGAGACATTTGAGATTTTAGTTTTGGCTACTTCTTTTCTGAGTACTATACATTTCTGACGTATTACCTGGTATTTATATATCCTTCTTTACACCATTACAACCAACCGCTTGAACCTGTTACAAATTTTCAGGTTTTGGAAAAATTGTTTTATATTTTTAGTGTATTTATCTCACCCTAAAGTATGTTTAACCACGTCACCTCTCACACCTGTGCACCCCTTATGAACCAGAGCAATTTTTAAATTTCTGATATGGACCTGTTTATTCAGCGATATCTTGTATACATGTATTTTTTGTTTGCTTTTTTTTTTTTTTTTTTAAGTACAAACAAGGCTTTTTTATCTTGAATATTGTCTTGCAACAATGATTTTTTTTTTTTCGCAATCTTAATGGCTCATGTACGCAGGGCGTTTGAAAAACTTTTCTGAACGCTGGAAATTGACTGCTAGAAAACATAGGCGTTTATCCACGTTTCTGCACATTTGTGTTTTTAAAAGATAACCTCAGGAGACCCTCCCAAATGCCCAGAATACACTGAAAAATAGTAAATTAACTATTTCAGACATTTTGTGAGGAATAGAGAGAGCAGAAGCAGAGAGGGCACTACTTTCTGATGGAGGTTGCAAAAGTGGCTCTTGAAACATGCTTGGCATTGTGGGAGGAGCTACATAGTGCTGTAATGCCTTCGGATGCATTCTAGAGTGCACACAACACTCCTTGTGTTTAATTTAAATGCCCTTGGAGATGAGGGAAGGAGAAGGATTTTTTGCTGTGTTTTGATATATTCCAGTACAGTTCTGTGCAGAAATAATGCAGCACGTTCTACCATTTTTTTTCCTGCACACGAAACCTGGACCTGACTGTGCTGGTGTACTGGGTCCATTTGAATACATAGAAAACGCTGTGCACTCATTTTTGATGCAGAAAAAAGGCACTGGACAGCATCTGGATATGGACCAGCCCAAAAACCCATCTACCCAATGCATTTACAAGTGTTTACATGCGGTTACAAGCGTTTGGCATTTGAAACGCTGGTAAACTCTACTTCTGAGCGCAATTTTTGTGCTTTCAAAAAAATGCCTGCAACCTCAACTGCCTGTAAACGATTGTGTTACATGGACACATAGGAAAACATAAAAGGAGAGTTCAGGGCTGCTGAAAAAAATGCACAAGTGCTCCTAAACTTCAGTTTAGCAGCTGCAGTGTACATGAGCCTTAGACAGTTAAACATAATAAATAAAAAAAAAAAACCCTGCACTTTTTTTTGTCCTTAGCAGAGTTAGTTTAAAAAAATGAATAGTGTTCCTGCACAAAAAGTATGAATTATATTCTGTAATTTGTCCTATTTTAAAATTGCACTAAAATTATGATTCTGGTACAAAGCATTGCAAAGTTATTTACAGATGAAGTAGATTTTTTTTTTTTTGCTTAATTTTGCACTGTTTTTTTCCAATGTAATGCATGTAAATATATGTTAAAGGTGTAAAAATATTAATGAACAAAGCAAACAAAAAAAAAAAAAAGTTTAAATATTATTAGTTAATAAAATAGAAACAAATAGAGCATGTAATTGAATGGAGGAGGAGTTAATTAGGGTTGATTAGCGTAAGGCTACTTTCACACATAGGTGTTTTTACTGCGCTTTTGCCACACTTTCTGAGCATTTTTTTAAAGGATATGTGACTTAAAAACTTCGCCAAAAACATTTCTCAGAGGCATTTTTTAGACGTTTTTCATCTATTTCAGTAGGAAGAGGCGTTTTTGGGTTTTTTTTTTTCTTTTAACTGAACAAACATGCTCCAAAGATTTTTTTAAACTGCAACGGAAGCGCAATGCCCCAGTGTGAAAACATACTTAGGGAAAGTTTTTTCTTGAGGTTTTCAGGTGCTTTTTTTAATGCAAAAACTCAGTGTGAAAGTAGCTTGAAATAAGGGTTAATAAAGGGTTAAACAAAGGTACATTTGATTTATTAAAAAAAAGGTTGCTTCAATTGAATTCATCTACATTTCAAGTTCATCCCTTCTGAGTTGAATAATCCCAATGTTTCTTTTTTTCTGTATTTGGCAGCAATCCATTGTCTGCAGCTCCAGGACTTTCTTTGTGTATCGGCAATGCTGCTGTCATGAATCTGAGCTGAATTGCCCATTACAGGGATGGAGTGGCAGGGTGGGTGCAGTAGAGCGAAAGGGCTGTACTTCTGTACATATCCTGTGTACAATGATGACATTTTTTGGATTTGTGTAGAACGCCCAGAGTCTGCAACTGATTAAAGTGGTATTGGACCAAAACAGTAATGCAGCTTACAAATTTCTAAGTTTGATGGCTGAATACGTTTTTTTCTTTTTTAGGCTTTTTTCTTTATTTTCACTTGGTGGCTTGGTCAAGAAGTCTGTTGTTGTGTTTTTTTTTTTTTTTTCTTTACATGCTGACGGACCACGCTGTCCAGCAGTTAGAGGACTGAAACAAATCATTTAACACTGACAGGACTGCTTACAATGGTCAGCTTTTATTTATTTATATAAAACCCTTATCCTAAAATGGAAAAAAAACTGTTGATGCAACTGCTTGAAGAATATCTATACTCTCCTTCACTCTAGAAATGCAGCTTCCCCACCAGCCGCCGACCTATTCAGGCATCCAGCTTCCTGGTATCTCTGGCTGCTTTCATTGGCCAAGCTGAGATGAAGTCACTCCTGCACAGGGGTGGACTGACAACTCATGGGGCCCCCGGGCAATAGGGGATCATGGGGCCCCTGTGTCCTTGCCCAAACTCATAAAAAGCCTATGAAAAAGGTACCAGGGGCATCTCATGGAGCCCCCTACTGACTTTGGGCAGTGCCTGAGTTTCCAAATGGTTAGTCCACCCCTGCTCCTGCGCATACATGGGGCTTAATCATCTCAGCATTGCTGAACTTGTACAATGAGCTGTACCTGTGCTGCTAACTGTACAGGGGTGGACAGCAGGTAAATAACTTTGATGAAGAAAAGACATAGCATGTCTCTTCTGTATTAAAAATCCTGCCTGTTTGCCCATTTCTTTTCTTTTTTTTTTTTTTTGGTCATAAAGTTCCACTTTTTAAAAAGTGTTAGCTAGGGTTTGAATTTAATTTGTTATTCAAGTCTGTTTAAATCTATTACTGCATTTAACACTATTCTGCCCCAATATTAACAATGCTGTTATCTAAGGGTGGCTCTGTTGCTCATCCAATGGAATGGAGACACCCTAGGACAGGAAATGTTGCTGGCTGGTTCACCAGGTGAAAATAAAAGGAAAGAAAAAAAACTAAAAAAGAAAATTGATGCAGCTACTACATTTAAAGTGGTTTTTGCTAATTTTACAATGTTGTTTCTTTTTTTGGATAGAATAGGGGAGGGTTATAACCACGTCTCATTAAGGAGTTTGTTTTCCTAGCTTTCCTTTCCGGTAGAATCAACAGCAATTGAGAAGAAGATGTATGTCCTCACTGGAGGATTCCCCCCCCCCCCCCCCCCTTCCTGCTCTGGTGACAACTCCGTTTTGGATTTGCCCTCTGTTTCATTCAAGGTGTCACTGTTGACCAGGATAATTAGAGAGAGGGAATCTTCCCGATGGGCAGACAGTTATACTTTTAAATGGTTGTATACCTTTACATATAACCAGTGAAGTGACTGGCCTCAGGTGATATACAGAGATGAAATAGGTTTTGCCTGTTTACTTGCAGTCTTCTCTACTCTACATCCATTCAAAGTCCAGAATTTATAAAGCTTGTTTGAACTGTCAGAAAACAGGGGGCAGAGAGCTGAAATTCCACACTGCAGAGCTCAGGGAGGAGAGCTGATTGCTGACTGAAGGGAACAGACACCCCCCCCCCCTCCTCCCTTTACACAGCCCATTTATTTGAACTCACAGTTGTGAAACTATTAGGAAACCTTAGGAGACCTTTTTTTCTACAGCAGCAGTATGTAACCTATGGGCCATGACCCCAGATTTGAGTTTATATTCTCCCCAGGTTTTTAAATGTACAATTATTTTGTAATGGAAATTGCATGGTGTGGGTTCCCAAAGCACAAGCTTAAAATAGGCTTCCAATTTCCTTTGGACAACTTGGGGCCTAGAGAGCCAGGAAATCCCTCTGTCCTGATGCCATTGTCACCATTTTCTGTAATTCCAGGACTCAGTCTATTACTTACAACAAAAATGTTCATTTTGTGTTACAGAAATTCTACATACTGCTTGGTGCGATACCTGCAGGTATCTTCATAACCTTCATCAATATTTTTTATGGTAAGTAATGAGATTTCTAATGTTTTTTTTTTTACTTGTATATTAAAAAATTGATTGAATAATGTATTCCTTTTCACAAATAAAAAGTGTCTTATAGGTTACCCCGAGTCCCCAATGTACAACGAAGATGGAATGTTTTGTACTTATGAATCTGGGTTACATTGCATAATATAAAGGACAAGTTCTGGTATGAATAAAAAGTATCACTCGCCCCCCCCCCCCCCCCCCCCCATCATACTCTAAGTCTAATCTAATCCTACCCCACTTTCCCACCTAGCTGCTTACTTGCCTGTCTCCTACAGCAGCAGCCTTCTGGACTAGTTACATTTTCCATTCCGAAATGTTTTCATTGCCGCCTGTACAATAACTTCCCATAGATTTGAGTGAAACTCTACTGCAACAGTCCAGCTACGGCCCATCCAAGTCTATGGGAAGTCACTGTGCATATGTGGGCAGCACAGAGAAGGTTTCTGGAAGGGGATGTGAACACAGTGGGAGACTGTTGCTATCAGAGAAAGGTAAGTAGCACCCAGGTGGAGGTGGTAGGTTTAGTTTTGAGAAAGTTAGGGTATGAGTCTTTGTAATTATAACTAAACCTGGACTTGTCCTTTTTATAGGTTCAAAAATTTTAGGTATTATTGCTCCAATCTCACACCACAGAGGATGGCAGATCTAATTGCCGGAGAAACTAATTGATAATAGCTAGCGTTGCCAGCACTGTGTGTTGGTGCAGTAATGAGTGGCTTTCTTCTGAGATCCTGTCCATCCATTACACATAAAGATGTGCACTTCGATATTATGCAATATTTGAAATGGCAGTGATAGTAGGTGTCTGAATATTCAGATGTCTGCAAGGATGGAGACCTTTAACAAAGGCTAATGCTAGGACATGTGGAAAATAAAGGCTCCTCCTCCATCTAGTACTTTTTTTTTTTTTTTTTTTTTTTTTTTTTTTGAGTTTCTATTTCATGTTACCAGGTCCAGCCGAACTGGCAGAAATTCCAGAAGGCTATGTTCCTGAACACTGGGAGTACTATCAGGTAAGTTGGACTAGGGAGTAGTATAGCATTCAGTAGTGGAGTGCATAAAACACTAGAAAACTACTGCAGGTGTAAAGTGCAGGCACATAGAGGTAAGGATAGCCTGTTAAAATATTTATTATTATAGGTACTTATATAGTGCCGTCAATTTACGCAGCACTTTACATATATATTGTACATTCACATCAGTCCCTAACCCTCAAGGGGTGTACAATCTAAAGTCCCTAACTCACATTCATACATACACATACTAGGGACAATTTAGACAGGATCCAATTAACCTACCAGCATGTCTTTGGAGTGTGGGAGGAAACCGGAGTACCCGGAGGAAACCCACGCAGGCACCTGGAGAACATGCAAACTCCAGGCAGGTGGTGCCGTGGCTGGGATTCGAACCAATGACCCTAGTACTGTCAGGCGGAAGTGCTAACCATTTAGCTACTGTGCTGCCCATAAAATAGCCCAGCAATTGACAATATTTGCAGGTTAAAAGCTTGTGCTCGTGCCTGGAGCAGTTTTCAGTTTTTTTCATAGTGTGTGTTCTATTTTGCAAAGTGTTCACTTAAAGTGGAACTTCACTCTCTAACAGCATGGACTATTTTAATTCCTTATGCTGCTAGCATTAGAAAATAGATGGGAAAATATATCATTGACTTATTTAAAATTTTTTTTTTTTTTTTGTTACAATCCTTTAGTTACTTCCTGGTTTTCATCCCTAGGCAAATGATTTCATACATCCCAGGAGTCTTCAGGAGGGGAGGGAGGGTTCTCAGCTTAGCCTATGCATGAGCTAAGGGCAGATGGATTCCAGGAAGTAAATGCTACATAAATCCTCTCCCCTTGCTCAAGATGGCCACTTCCAGAAATGCCAGGGGGTGTTTTTCAAAATGATTTATCTGCAAAATAAACCAGGAAGAAGTGAATAGATGTGGGTGTTTGCTTTGAACATTACCAATTTAATTAAATTGCATTTTTGGTTTGTGGTGCAGTGTAGTTCCACTTTAAGCTGGGCATACACTGAATCCCTACTGAATTGGGAGAATTGTGATCAGTGTGTGGCCTCCCTTGCTGGGAACATGTCAGAAATGTTTGGATAATCAGTGTATTGGGTGCCACTGTGAGAGTACAATGTCCTGGCGGGTGGGATTTTCCTCCCTTCACTTGGTTTATGTGGCTGAATGAAATAAAAAAAAAATGTGTATGGCCAGCCTTCGCTATGTAAATGAAGTGAAGTTGTGTTCACTTCAATCAATTATTGTGCCAGCAAATATCCTGTGTTATGTGTGTGTTGTATTTTTTTGTTATGCACTACTAGTTATTCAGGGGGTACACAGCTATTTACTAAGTGATCATACACTTTACTAAGTAAACATCCTTCTTGATCTGAATCTGAGTCACTTTAAGGAATAAATTGGCAATGGTGCCTCTTTTTTTTTTTTTTTTTTTTTTTTTGCTTTATTTCTCCTCTAAATACTAGGAAGTCCTGATGTAAAGGAGACTCAATCCAAACAGTAAAAACAAACAAATGTTCGCAATTAAAAAAAAAAAAAATAAATATATGGAAGTTCTCAATAATTCTCTCTGCACTGGGTCTGCAGCTACACTGCAAGGGTTAAATGCCATTTATATTTAGGTGACTGGGTAAAGCGGTTTCACTTACCTAATGTGAAGACTCTGAGAAAAAGTTAACTGTTGGAGCATGGAGGAGCAGAGGATCAGGTAAGTAAAAGTGCTTTTACCATCCATTAAACTGAGTTATTAACCCTTGCAGTGTGGGAACAGCCTCACTTGCAAGGGAGGATATTTACTGTTTCCTGGAGTTGGGTTTTAGGTTTCTTTATCTAAGTTATAATTCTGATTTTTTTTTTTTTTTTTTTTTTTTTTACCTTTTCAGCACCCAATCACTCGTTGGCTGTCCCGCAATATCTTTCATTCTTTTGAGGAGTCCTATGAGAGAGGACTAGCTATACTCTCCACTGAAAACGAGAAACGCCAGCTCAGGTAGACAAATAACTAAACACTTTACAAGATATTTTTTAATAGAAATGTATTTTTAAATGTATCTGTGACTACTGTATTCTTTCCCAAGGTCAAAAAGAATATTATACTCATGAAAATAAATGAGCTACATATTTAAAAGTTGATGGACATTTGCCCTAAAAGTCTACTTTTGTCAAATACCAACATACAGGGGCAGACTGACAACTCATGGGGCCCCGGGCAATATGGGATCATGGGGCCCCTGTGTCCTTGCCCAAACTCAAAAAAAAAGCCTATGAAAAAAAGGTACCAGGGGCATCTCATGGGCCCCCTACTGACCCCGGGCCCTCTGGCAGTGCCCGAGTTTCCAAATGGTCAGTCTGCCCCTGCCAACATATTCCTTTTTTCAATTAGAAAAATTATTTGGTAAAACATAAAAGGTAGGACTGCATTGAGTAAATCGATACCAAACATATCTAACCATAAAATTGCATGCATCAGTGAAATGGTGAAAAACTACAGTACCTAAAATTGTACATAGGTGATGCTTTAAAAGCCTTTACAGGTTACTAATTAATTCTTGATTCGAGTTAATTGTAAATGATGAATCAAGAATTATTGCTCTCATGCCAACGATTGTGTGGGTACCTCTCATGTGTGGCACAATTTTACATGCATCTGCACAACCTACGCATATATTTACATTTGTGTGTGCACAGGGTTCCTTCATTTTTTGTGTTGTTCATTTCATTTTAATTTACAGTTAATACTTATTTTTATTTAACTTTGTCACTATCACAAAGGGGCTAACAAGCCCACTATGTCAGATTTCTGTGGCAGTGAGCCCTGGTAGATCGACAACTCGGGGTTCCCTAGGGTGTGGAGTCGATGCCCCAACCTGCTTTTTTCACCAGGGCCCTGATGGTGGGGTGGGCTGGTCTTTCAGCAAGTCAGGTTGGGTGGCAGGCAAGCACAGACAGACAAAGCCAGGGATACACATATTAGGGAGACTGCACTGAGCACGTGTGTGTGATATATATATATATATATATATATATATATATATATATATATATATATATATATATATATATATGTATGTACACTTTGGGTGGGGGGCCATGGAACACAGCTCACTTTGGAGAGGTAGGGAGACCCCTGTCTCAGCTCCCCATATCCCTCTTATGTGAGTCACCCTGTGCCTGTTAGGGGTACAGGGTGATCTGTCCTAATATTGTGTAGCCATGTTTAGGAGATAGGTGGGTGAGGGTTGTGGATTGTTTAATGCCATGTGGTTGCATACCATTGTTCTATTGTGGGTCTTGCTTGGGAGCAAACTATTATGGGATGTATAAGAAAAAGCCCCCCTGCGCTTGAATGGACAATCCCTACCCTAACCTGCTAACACCTTCCTTTAACCACAAAGTGAAAATAACTACATAAAAAATGGTGCAGCGCTAAATAAATACTAACATGTGCATCAATATATAATAAATAATTTATAAATATAAATAACGTGTCAACACACATACGTGACTTAGCACAAACTGTACAGTGAAACCCAAGCAACATGTATATTCCCAATCTGGGGGATCAAATGAAAGTGAACCATGTGATTCCCTACTCAGGAACGCAATTATATAAACGCAAGTGTACAAACCTCAAAAAACACAATAGTGATAAATCATAAATGTCCGCTCAAATGAAAGTCCACAAAATGCACTAATTTGTGCCCAAACACAAATAAATCACGTGTAAATTGAATCAGCACAACGTGAGGTGAATATAGTGCCAAAAAAACTCATGATAACGAATCCTTAAGTGGCCAGAGTGCCCCCTCACCTCCTTACAGTTACCACAGGGGCCAGCTCACTTTATGGTATCAACCACGCTTTCACTGGAACTATCACATCACCAAAAAGGACCCTCCTGGATACTCCAGCAGGCTTTGTACTCCTGAGCTCTCCAATTACCTGGTACTCTTATGCAGCGTTCACAGCAAAGGATCATAGCAAAGACAAACAAAGATCCTCCATAGTGTGAATCAGTGTTTATTCAATCAAAGTCATAATAAAAAATGCCCACTCACATGATATAAGTGCATCCAGCTTTTTCCACATACTATGGTGTACTAGTATGGTTCCTGGTGTTCCAATATGGCGCCGACGCCGGAACTGACGTCAGCGCGCACCGGAAGTCCTGTCACTGCGTACCGACGCGTTGCGTCATGATCACCATGTGACTTCTTCAGGGTACCCTCAGCCAATGAGGAGGTGGAGACCTGGGACAGCCGAGGCTGTCGTACACATCGCTGGATCGCAATGGGTCTCAGGTAAGAATTGAGGGGGATGGGAGCACTGCTGCACACAGGTGCTTTTTTTACCTTCATGCATAGAATGCATGAAGGTAAAAAAATCTTGAGCCTTTACAACCGCTTTAAGAGGCCCATACTTGAAATATGGAAGGGCTTTAGAGCACCCAGTTGTCCTTTTTAAAGTTGTATATTCACCTTTTTCACAAATAAAAAAGAGAAAAAACAACAAAGAATGTGAACTAACACCGTACAACCTCCCCACCCCCCCACCTCCAGTCCCCATTGCACTTCCATGGGTGATTAGTGGTCACTGCCTGCGCATCCGGTGCAGGAATCTGGGATTTTAGAGCCTGTTGTTCTACCCCCATCTTTGCTTAGGGCTTCCAGGATGGATCAGAACAATCCCAATTGGTCAAAGTGGTTGCATGCCAGCATGCAACAAATTGGAATCTCTGTAATTTGTCCTGGCAGACATAAGGAAAGAAGGGGAAAAAAAGTAAGGCTTTCAAATCCCCAGTCTGCTGCCCTGGCTGCTTGGGCAGTTACTGCTAATCACCCAAGGAGGCAAGTATAGCAGGGACTGGGGGTGGGTATATGGCATTAATCACCATTTATTTATTTATTTATTTTTTTGTGTGTACCTTAATCACAGTATAAACTCCATGCACAGAAACAAATCTAGATATGTATTATGTTGGCTTATTTATTAAAATAGACCATAGGAAGAAATTGCTGTACCCAGATGAACCAGTAAGATTGCATTTTTGTCTGGTTTAACTTCATTAAAATAAATATCTGTTTACTTGTAAGCACCCTGTTTAAACTAAGACATACGCTAACCTTGCTACTAGAGAAGGAGGGGGCACAATCTTCCTCTGTGACTCACACTGCAGTCTTTGCAATTTGATCTCCCTGCTCTTCATATCTGTTTCATATAACAGCTGTAGAATAGGTTGGGGAAAGTTTCTGCTCTTGTATGAAGTTTGCCACCTACTGGCTGTCATTGGTAAATATTAAAATATTTATTATTATTATTGTATAATACAGGAGTTATAAAACGCCAACAGTTTGCATAGCGCTTTACAATATTCCAATTTAATATTTTTGTACTTGGCATAATAAAAGTACTAGAATTTCCTAAAAAGTTTCTGTAACGTCAGCAAGAAGAGGTTTTGTTCAATTGTCTATTTTATGCATGGTTCAAGCGCCTTGTGTTTTATTTTTATTTAGTATGAGTTGATATAACTTTGTCTTTTGCTTTAGGTTGTATGAAGATATTGCCCGTGCCTCTATGAGAAAGAAGGGAGATGGTCCGTGGTATTTTTATGAAACGCTGGATAAAAACCTCATTGACCATGAACCTAAATCCGAACCTGATCACTAATGAATCTGCTTATTTAGAACTCCTGTAAATCATTTATCACAATAGATTATTGTATATGTCAGTTGGTTTCAGAAATATTCATGTCTCAAGTCCATACAAAATAAAATGACTTATTTACTTTGAAAACTGGAGCCTGTGATGATTATTTAATAAAAAAATCTAGGTGATGCAAGTAATAGTAACTAAAATAAAAAAGAAGTTTGTAAAACGTCATAATTAGTAAGACGTGCTGACCCATATGCAGCTAAACCTTTAGGGAAACACAAAACTCTTCACTGCAGCCAGAAATGTGTATATTTTGTTAATAAATATTAGGATTATATTGATACCATAATATAATAATAAAAACCTCACTTTGCTTTTCAATCATTTTAACCACTTGCCTACTGGGCACTTTTACCCCCTTCCTGCCCAGGCCAATTTTCAGCTTTCAGCGCTGTTGCACTTTGAATGACAATTGCGCGGTCATGCAACACTGTACCCATATGAACTTTTCATCTTTTTTTTTTTTTTTACACAAATATAGCTTTCTTTTGGTGGTATTTAATTGCTGCTGGGTGTTTTATTTTTTGTGCTATAAACAAAAAAAGAGCAAAAAAATAATTAAAAAAAAAAGTTTTCTTTGTTTCTATTATAAAATTTTGCAAACAGGTAATTTTTCTCCTTCACTAATGTGCATTGATGAGGCTGCACTGATGAGGTGGCATGGATAGGCAGCACTGATGGGCAATGATAGGCAGCACTGATGAGCTGACACTGATGATGCTGCACTGATATGCAACAATGATGGGCACTGATGGGTGGCACTGACTGGCGGCATTGATGGGGGATACACTGCTGGGCACTGGTGGGTGGCACTGCTGGGCGGCACTGATGATCGGTGCTGATCCGTCCTCTGAAAATTGTCGGTTATCGGTAGTAATTTCCTCACGTTGTGACAGTGTGAGGAAAGTGGAGGCGATAACTGGCAACTGCATTTACTGGTTATTTGCTGTGTCATTGGTAAAAGGCCAATCACAGCAGCCTTTTACCACATCACGTGATCAGCTGTGTCTGTAAGATACAGCAATCACAGAGATCGCCGGGTGCGCGCCCCTGGGGGCGCACTGGAGGGCGCGTTCTGGGAGGATGTCATATGATGCCCTCCCAGGACTAAACAACCATGCTGTAGCCGTCATTTGGCTATAGCGCAGTTGCCAAGTGGTTAATGAACAAAGACATTAATAACAGATGTAATGGTGTACTATGGAAAAAGTTAATACATCCTGGTATTGGTATGATGGTATTGTCCCCTTTTAGCAGAAATCTTTTTTTTTTTTTTTTTTTTTTGTAGGTGTAACTGCCCACCACTCTCCAACATCAACTCAGTGAGATTTTTCATAAATAAAGTGCAGCGCTAGAGATTTTTGACCACTCCTATGTGCAAAATTTCTTGAATTGAAAAATGAAGGGTTTCCTTGCATGAACTACTCTTTTCAAAATACTCCAACATTTCAATAGGATTCAAATTAGAGCTTTGACTAGACCAGTCCTTAACCCTCCATTGCTTCTTTTTGAGCCAGTCCCTGGTGGATATGCTAATGTTCTTTGGATTGTCATTCAGGAAAAAACCCCACTGTCAACGCGTAAGGGAAATAAATCCCACTGCCAATGCGCCAGGAGCAGCATCATTTTGGCAGAAATATATTTGACACTTGAAAACGTATCTAAATCCATGTTAATGCTAGGTGCATTTAGCACTTGAGTGTTAATTAATTTCAAGGGCCAGAATAAATTATTATTCTGGCCAATTAAAATAATGCCAAAGCGCTTGACGCCCATAAATGTGCCTTAACGCTTGTAAGAAACTTTAGATGTTTTTTTTCTGCAAAGACACTGCTGCCAGAGGAAGGCTTCTAGGAGAGTTTAAAAAAAAAACAAAACAAAAAAACATCCTGTGTGCATGAGGCCTTAAAGCAGAACTAAACTTCTTTAACGGTTTATAAAAAACTGTTACATTCCCAGCTCCCGAGATTGCTAGCTGTCATATTTGCTTGTGTTCTCAACCAATCTGTCAAACCGTCAAATGCCTGGTGTCATAACTGATCAGCACCATAGCAGTAGCAGATCAAGCACAGGCTGAGATGGCAGCTTCCTTGACTGAAAAGGATATGAAGGTTTAGTTCCACTTTTAAACCTGAAATAAACCCTCCTATCCTTTCCAGTCATGAAAGCTGCCATCTTAGCCTCTGTTTAATCTGCAACTGCTGTAATACTGTACATGTCATCAGTTATGACTCCAGTTATTTGATGGTTTGACAGTTTGGTTGACAGCACATGCAAATGTGACAGTTATTCCTGTCATGCCGGGAATGTAGCTGTTTTTTTTTTTTTTTAAATAAGCAGGGGTGATGTTGAAAGCATTTGTAAAAAGACTGTTTTGCATTGACCTCTAGCAGTTGCATGTAATGTGCCTGCAGTATCCTGAAGTATATCCAAAGTCTTCAACTCCTATAGCATGTCCATAGTTTCTGGCCATCTTTTGTTGCATGTCTATAGTCTTTGACCATCTCCTGTTACATTTCTGCCGTATCTGACAGCTTAACATTACATTTACTGAATAATATGTACAACCCTTTGGTGATGTCATAGGCTGCATTTAAGGCCCCTACACCAAGTTAGATGACCACCACTACTCTAACTGTATTTTAGAATACTGTACTAAAGCGAGAGCTTTTGGGTTTTTTTTTTTTTTTTTTTTTTTTTTAGGCAAGCTTACCATGAGTGTAATTACAAACAAAATCAAAGATGATCTCTGTAGGCTGTGGATGCAATATGCAAGGGCTGCCTGAAATGTCAAGCAAACATTAAGTGGGACAAATTAAAGAGAAAATTCCAGGCAACACATGAAAGCACTCAATGAACTTTTAATGCTACCCATCAATGAGCTAAACATCAGAAAGCTCATTCAATTGACCATAATTTGAGTTCTTTGTAATCCACTGCAGCAAGAATCCAGCGAACACCTTGCAGGGTCACTGGGAGTGTACTTCTGCAACCACTCTATTAAGTATTTGTCCACTCTTTGGTTTACCAATCTCATTCAAACTTCCAAGACATGGTTTGGATTTGATCATTGACTGGGTACAGATATATTTACTCATACCTATGAAAGAGAGAGTGTTTTATTATTCCTCTCGTGTCACTAGCAGGGGTTTTCATATTAACCATAAATATGCACTCCTTACATTGCTGTAATGGCAAACAAAGGGTTTAAATAAGCTCTGGGTGGCAGAAGCAGCCCAGAACTTTTTTTTTTGTGTGGCAATTTTGAGATCAGTAAAAGTGATCTAAGCAACTACTTAGATCCTTGATCATTTGTAATGAAAATACAGGCTCTCCCAGCCTTACCTTTGGCAATGAGACCAATTATTCCTCTCCTTTTTACCCGATTTATAATGGCGAGTCTCATGCTTACAGACCGTTCTCTGGGTATGAGGGTGCACAGCTGGGGTAGGGGTAAAATCCTTTTCTGCATCTGCATCATTCTGCCATCTCCTGCACAGTGGAGAACTGAGCAGTGAAATTGATAGCATTAATATTCATACTTTACATATTTGAATGCAGCAGTATTGTATACTGTGTGCCCATTCACACTGCTCTCTTTTGGACAGTAATGTTTAGCTATGCAAACAAATTAAAAATATTTGCATTCACCTCCTGATTTCAACATTATTTTACATTGTACGTGTGTAAACATTTGTGATAACCTAGGTCAGGGGTCTCCAAACTGTCTAAAAAAAGGACCAGTTTACTGTTCTTCAGACTTTGGGGGGCTGAAGTGGCCAGTGGGAGTATAACATGCCCCAGCATCAAAAGGAGTAACCAATGTTTTAGGCTTGGTGGTCAATGTGAGTAAAACAAATTACTCAGAGCCTGTAGTCAGTAGAAGGATTAGTATCCCATCATTGGTGTTAGTTGGAGGAATAGTGCCCCATCATTGGTATTAGTGGGAGGAATAGTGCCTCATCATTGGTTACAGTGAGAGGAATAGTGACCCATCATCGGCATTAGTGGGTGGGATAGTATCCCATCATTGGTGTTAGTTGGAGGAATAGTGCCCCATCATTGGTATTAGTTGATGGAATAATACCCCATCATTGGTATTAGTTGATGGAATAATGCCCCATCATTGGTATTAGTTGATGGAATAATGCCCCATCATTGGTATTAGTTGGAGACATGTGCCCCATCAATAGTACCCCATTAGTTGGAGGAATAGTGTCCCATCATTGGTATTATTTGGAGGAATAGTGCCCCATCATTGGTATTAGTTGATGGAATAGTGCCCCGTCATTGATATTAGTGGGAGGAATAGTGCCCCGTCATTGGTATTAATGTGGGGAATAGTGCCCCGTCATTGGTATTAGTGGGAGGAATAGTGCCCCATCATTGGTATTAGTGGGAGGAATTGTGCCCCGTCATTGGTATTAGTGGGAGGAATTGTGCCCCGTCATTGGTATTATTGGGAGGAATTGTGCCCCATCATTGCTATTATTGGGAGGAATAGTGCCCCATCATTGGTATTAGTGGGAGGAATAGTGCCCCATCATTGGTATTATTGGGAGGAATAGTGTCCCTTCACTGGTATTATTGGGAGGAATAGTGTCCCTTCACTGGTATTAGTTGGAGGAATAATGTCCCATCATTGGTATTATGGGGAGGAATAGTGCCCCATCATTGGTATTATGGGGAGGAATAGTGCCCCATCATTGGTATTATGGGGAGGAATAGTGCCCCATCATTGGTATCAGAGGGGGGAAAAAAGTGATGATGTCCATGGAAGGTATAGTGCCCCATCGTTGGTGTCAGTGATAAGAATGGTTCCCCTCTGTTGGTGTCAATGGAATGAATGTGCCTCCTTGTTGGTTTCAGTGGGAGAAATAGTGCCTCATATCAATGGGATTAAGAGTGTCCCAAAGACTGGGTAAAGGCAAGCAAAAAGCTGCAGTTTGGAGACC